GGACTTGTCCCTCTCCTGTTGCAACCTTCGTCGCTCCGATCCTGTTCGCGTCGTCGCCCAAGGCCCCGGTCTTCTGCGACTGCCTCCAGTTTCCCTCTCTGTCAACTCTTCCTCTGTCACTTCTGTCGGACTAGGCTTCGGTCTTCACGGCGAGTCTCTTCTTTCCTCTCGCTCCCCTGTTTTTTCTTCCCTTCCTGTACCTACAACCCCACTCTCCAATATATCACCTTCTGCCTCACATGATGAGTGTTTGGCCAACACCTCATCCCTGCACTTGTCCACGGACTGCGCGCCATCTCCTCTAAAGTTAACTTCTTCTCCTCCGTCTTTCCTCTCTGCAATGGCTGGACTTAACGGCTTTGGTCGCTCTATCCTGAGTCGTTCGCATCCTCTTCCTTCTCCCACTCCCAACATTTGTACCCTCTCTGCCTCGTGCTTCCAGAAAGCCGCAAAGAACTGTGGTATTTCACTGATCCGTTTCCACCCTGTAGACTCTCCGTTGTACCGCATCACCACTATGGGCTTAACACCCTCGTCGCATTCCTTGGACCTCGGACCTGATGACCCTCATGACTCCTCTGCATTGAACACATTACCAGCTAAGTATTTCCCTTGGGCTTCAAGCGTCTTTTCGGACACTGAGGTCGGCGCTCTTCCTCCGCACCACCTGTACAACATCTCAATCGACCTCGAGGACGGCAGGTCTCCGCCTTTTGGGCCAATGTATTGCCTCTCGCAGGACGAGTGCGACGCACTCACCAAGTACCTCAACGAGAACCTCTGGAAAGGTTTCATCCATCGCTCCACCTCTGCCGCTGCTTCCCCCATCCTCTTCGTATGCAAGAAGTCCGGCAAGCTCTGGCTCTGTGTCGACTATTGCGGTCTCAACTCCATCACAAAGAAGAACCGCTATCCACTCCCTCTCATCAATGATCTCCTCAACAGGACTCAAGGCTGCAAGGTCTTCGCCATTATCGACCTCAAGAACACCTTCAACCTCATTCGCATCAAGGATGGCGACAAGTGGAAGACTGCGTTTCGTACCCCACAAGGGCTCTTCAAGATGCTCATCATGCCTTTCAGTCTCACCAACGCGCCGTCGACGTTTCATGCATTCATCCAGGATATGTGTCAACACCGTGTCTGCCCAGGGAGAACCGGGACGTTCGAGCTATGCTCCACTAGGGATACCGTGTCCCGAAGATGCTAGCGAAGGTGCGAAGAAGTGTGGAGATGGATCGGAGGTAAACCGGAGATCATGAAGGTAAAGGAGATGCGCGTAGAAGCAAGGAGAAGATGCTAAGTACGCCGGAATACGAAGGAGAGGACAAGTCAATGTCAAGTCGACTTGGAGTACGATTTGGATAGAGATGACAAGCACGAAAGGATGTCAAAAGCCACAGGAATGTTGGGGCAGGAGTAAATCGATATTCATACTATCGAATACAAGTCGAATGCTACCACTATTTATATCATAAGTTCGGATCTTCGGATAAGCTCTGGATATCTACTGGCGTAAGTGTGGAGTATCATGAATAATCACCGAAGGAGACCGAAGGTCGTAAGTATACAAAACATGACAGGCGTAACTGCGGAATAATGACAGGCGCAAAGTAATGACAGATAGAATGTGGAGTGAGTTGGTCACAAGGAAACGTGCTGACTGATAATTCCCGAGGATATTGGCATCTACTCCGTAGCTGCCGAAGGAACCGAAGCAACATCGAAGGAGTGAACATGAACCGGAGATAGGCCGGAATTACATGGGCATGACAATACGCTACGCGACTACCTCAACGTTTTCTATGTTGTCTATCTCAATGATATACTAATCTTCTCTCGCTCACAGGCCGAGCACGATGCGCACGTCATGAAGGTGCTAGATCACCTCAAGTCTGCGCGTCTCTTCGCCAACCCCGAGAAGTGCACCTTTGACCACTCCGAGGTTGACTATCTCAGTTACGTCATCGGCGCCAACGGCATCAAGATGAGCCTGAAGAAGCTCAACACTGTTCGTTTATGGCCCGAACCTTGCAGCGTCCGCGATGTGCAGTTGTTCCTGGGTTTTACAAACTTTTACTGCCACTTTGTTCTTCGTTATTCTGCTGTCACTCTCCCGCTCACTTCTCTTTGCAAAAAGGACGTTCCCTTCGCGTTTTCGGACGCTGCACGCGCCTCATTTGATGCGCTCAAGCCGGCGCTTGCTTCCTATCCTGTCCTTCACCACTACAATCCCTCACATCCGTGCACGCTTGCTACCGATGCTTCCGACTTCGCCCTCGCCAGTGTCCTTCTCCAGCCCGATGACGACAGGATCCTCCACCCGGTCGCTTATTACTCCCGCAAGTTCACGCCGGCCAAAATTAACTACAAGGTTTACGACAAGGAGCTCCTTGGCGTGGTCAATTCGTTCCGCAACATGCGCACCTGGCTGCTCGGCTCCGCTCACCCAGTCTCGGTGATTTCGGACCACAAAAACCTCGAGTATTTCATGTCTTCTTGCGTTCTTAATTGTCGTCAGGCGCGCTGGTCGATGTTCCTCTCAGAAATCGATTTTAAGCTCGTTTGGGGCCCAGGTATCAAGAATGTTGCTGACGCACCATCACAGTGCCCGGACTTCGTCCCTCGGAAGGGGGATGAGGCCTTCAAAGCACAGTTCAAGACGCTTCTCAAGCCCTATCACACCCAGTCGATTTTCTCTGAGTCCACTCTACTCTCTTCTTCTCCTTCTTCTCCCCCATCCCATTCCATCTCTGCGCTCACCACCCTCTCCATAGACTCATCTGAGCTCCTCGAGCGCTTCCAGCGCGAATGGGAATCCAACCACAAGTGGCGTGAAGCACTCGCACTTGGTGATTCTGACTTTACTGCTGAACACAGCATGGTTTTCCACAAGGGGCGTCTTTTCGTTCCTAAACCTCTCTGTTCAGACGTTTTGCACTCACAACACAATGCGCTCGTTGCAGGTCACCCCGGTTGCACTTGCACCCTTCAACTTGTGCAGCACGACTACTCTTGGCCTGGGCTCTATACTCACGTTTGCCGTTACGTCGAAGCTTGCAATGTCTGCCCTCGCATCAAGGCCGTTCGCCACCGCCCTTATGGTCCACTTCGGCCTCTTGATATCCCTTCACACCCATGGATTTTGATCTCAATGGATTTCATAGTCAAGCTGCCGGTCTCACACGGGTACGATTCTATCTGGGTCATGTGTGATCGCTTCACTCGCGCTGCCCACTTCATCCCGTGCAACGAGACCATTAATGCTCCTGAACTCACCTGGCTTTTCCTCGACCGTATATTCCGTTACCATGGCCTCCCCAAGTCTATCATATCTGACTGCGGCTTGGTATTTATCTCACACTTCTGGTCAGAACTCACTCGTCTGTTACAGATTGACGCACGCAAGTCAACAGCGTATCATCCCCAAACAGACGGTCTCATGGAGCGTACCAACCAAACGCTCGAGACTTACCTCCGAGCTTATGTCTTGTACCAACAAGACAATTGGGTAGACTACCTACCGGCCGCCGAGTTCGCGTTCAATAACGCTGAAAACACGTCGACCAAACAGATGCCCTTCTACGCTATGACAGGGTTTCACCCTGTTGTTGAACCTCACATCGCTGATGCTGATGTTTCCCCAGTTCCAGCTGCTGCAGACCTCGCTACACGCCTTGAATGCATTCATGCTGAGCTCCGTGCCGAGCTGACCCACGCCCAAGAAATCCAAGCCCGTGCCTTTGACCGCCAACACGATCCGTCCCCAGATCTCCGACCAGGCCAACTAGTCTGGTTACTCCTGCGCAACATCAAGACTACACGCCCATTGGGCAAGTTGGATCATCGTTGCCTTGGTCCCTACCCTATTACGCATGCATGCGGTTCGCATTCTTACGAGCTGAGTCTTCCCTCATACCTTTCTCAACTGCACCCCGTTTTCCACGTTTCACTCCTTGAGCCATACAAGGACCCTTCGGACTTCCACCCTCACGCTGAACCAGAGCCTTTCGAGCTCTCGCCTGATGATGACCCCACCACACATATTGTCGCTGTACTTGACGCCCGCAAGACGGGGCACCATTACGAGTACCTGGTTTGTTTCCGCGACCACTCAGAGGATGAAGATTTATGGGTCCCACTCTCGGACATCCCGCGCACCTCCGACAAGTTATTGGAGTGTTTCCACTGCCGTCACCCACGCGCTCCTCGTCCCTCTCGAGTGGTTATGGAACGTACTTACACGGTGAGCAATTCTCCTCTGTTGGAACCTGTCTCAACCGCCATCCCACATGCTGCGCGCCGCACGCCTATACCGCCACCAGTTTGAGAGAACCTCCGTGCTGCCTACGTCCCTCGAACGCGTACAACTACGTGTGCCGGCCACGTCTCTTGCCCCCCTCCGCATCCGTACGCCTGACCTCAAGTCCACAACAAGATTGTGTTTGTTCCTCAAGTCTTGACGCTAGAAGGGGGATGATATAACGGCACAAGCCGTCACAATGCCACGTAGTCATATTGCTCAAATACAGACGGCCGGTAGCTTTCCCTCAACGAGGGTTTTGATGCACCTGTGCTAACTGTACAGTGGCTTACTTATATTCTCACGCATTTGACAAGTAGTCGAGACATGTATCGTACTTATGTTTTCTTCTTGGTCGAATCAACACCAGTATTTGTTGCTCTTGTTACTCATTCGCTTGCTCTGCTTGCTCTCCCCTCTGATCCCTGCCAGCACCGTCACACTACATTACCATACCACGTAAATTGAGATTACAGTGCTTGTTGTAGCCTACCACTAAGTTTACCACCGAGCTCAGCAATCCCAAAAAATCAAGCCACGACTCGGAGTCACAGTGCATTAAGTTTATCCTTGGATCTCGCCTTCTTCATGAGACTTCAAGTTTGGTGAAGTGAATAGAGAATGGTCAGTGCTTTGTTACCTACTGAAGTATAAGAGTAACATACCACAAAACCCCGGCTAGGTTGGCCTAGCCTTTTCAGCCCATAAGTCTCGCAAAAGTAGTTGCAGACATGATGAATAGGAAATGTTGACATTGTTTTTGGTAGATTACCCTTGCCAAAACTTTGGATATGTTCCCTACTTGTGACTGGTCAGCAAATGTCCGAGTCAGTCTATGATATATACAAGTCTAACTTACAAGCGAGTGATAATCTGAGGGTTGGTCAGGAGATTACCTCCACCTTGGCATAGCAATATGAGTAAGCAACACACAGAATATTTGGTGCATGAGTTTTTGCATGCTCACCTTGGAAATCAGACAAGAAAGCAACTCTGTGCATTGTTTGGTACTGGACATGTTGAACAAAACACAGGAAATTGGCAATCTCCTCCTCCTCCTTGCTCAAGCCTTTGCATGGTGTAACACTATCATTGTTGATGTACTTGATGAACTGATGATCAATCCGCTCTTCTAAGAGGTAGACTGCATCACCGTTTGGGTACAGCTAGAGCAGCATGCATCATACGGAGGCAAGGCAGAGATTCGGAGATGGGAGAAGTCTTGGTAGCTGGATGACTGTCAATGAAGTGATACGCAAGGTTGATAAGCCCATTTCCCCAGTAGACGATGTTTGCCTCAATAGCAGTGTAGTGTAGCTTGTCAGCTAACCCATACTGCTTTTGCTTTGATGCCCCAGATGTAGCTCTGTTGCTTCCAAGCCCTTCTTTGAAGTAGATACACTTTGCCACAGCATTCTTCAGCTCCAGAACCAACATGTCAGCAGCAGAGTGAATGATAGACCTAACAGTGGCTGGATAACATGTTTTGAAGGCCCCCAGAAATCCAACCATGCTATTCCTATCAGGGATGACTGCTAGCACAATGGTGCTACTAGCTCTGGTATCTGGAATGAATGGGAAATCATTCTTGATGACTGCATTAAATGAAGTAGAGGGTACTGGCACGACATCATAAGATGTGGCCTCAAATTGCACTAAATCCAAGTTGGTTAGATTCGTGCACTTTATAGGAGAATCAGAGAGCTTACACATTGCACGGGCATTCTTGCTAATATAACGCTGGGCAGCCACCGCATTTTCAATGGCTAGCTTGTCTGGAGGCTGGAATGGGTGAACAGATTGCGGAACTACTGATGATGTGGATAATACTGGATTAATTGGGTGTGGTGCTGTTGCTGCTGCCCCAGCTTGAGCTGCAGAGTATGCCACTTGCAAAATGGGTTGCCAAGCATGAAACACCAACAAAATCTTGGATGGAAGGTTTGTCTCTGGACTTGGGATGGGAAAGATAGAAGGAGGAATTTGAGATCCCGTGAGTTGGCGTCATGATGCCAACACGGGTAATTCCACTGCATTTGACAATGCCTTTTTTCTTGAATGCTCAGCTGTGTCTTTACCCTTTAAGTTGACAACCAATTTTAGAGATAGCTTGATCTGCTTGTGAGAATTTACCTACCAGATGCGTAGCAAAAGCAGACAATGTTAAAGTGTGGTCATGACTAGGCCCATTTCCACCCTATAAATTGCAGAAATTAGCTAATGTATCACCCAGTGCAAAATTCTGGTGGTATCAAAGGTACACACATGATGAATCTCCTCTTTCCACTCCAGAATGTCTTCAAACTGCGTGTGTTTCATGAACAGAAGGATTGAAACCTTGACATTAGTAACCAGCTTGGGAGTGGGGTTTTTAGCTGTGCTTCACATGAAGAACTTGTATAGAACCATGTCATTTAGCTCAGTGTCACTGGGAGGGAAATGGGGACTGAGGAGAAGGTGTAGAGGGGCTCTGTACATTGGTAGTGTGTGCAAGTCAAGCTTATACCCTTTGCACTATTTGTGCCAGAAATTGCTAAGATGCTGGGCAACAAGTGCTTGAAGTTGTTGCAGAGTCATGCTTAGTGGAACACTCACTTTGACTTCAATATTCTAGAAGAAATAGAGACATTAGTGAGGTGTTTGAGTCAATTACAAGCAGAGACAAACACCAACAAGTTTTGTCCCAGATAACCCCTCTGGCTTGAGATGATGGAGGGCCATGTGTATGTTAACCTTTTGAACCTGTCCAGCCGAGCTTGCTAAGCCTATCATGTGGTTTCTGTATTGTCCATGCACCGCATGATTTGGTGTGTAACCAATTGGCGCTGGCAAATGGCCACTGCAAAAGTGTTAAGCAGGAGGGCAAGGCTCTAATAATATGGATTGGTTTCAGCAACCCAGAGAGCAAGGGATGGACTTACTGTCTTGCTGTGCTGAAGACAACCCTTTCATAAGACCCTGCCAATGAATCTTTCCCTGTGATGGTGCTAACTAATGGAATAATGGGACTGGTGGAATTTCACGTGTGAATGCAGGAAGGCATGAATGGTTTTGCCTCTTGTTGTTGTAATGCTCAACACAATGAGGGCAGCAGTTCTTTCCAGAACCATCAGAGCCTTTGATATACTGTAAGACTTCTCCAGCATCCGAGTCAATTATGATGTGACATTGTTGACACTGATTGGGCTTTAGCAGCTGATTAGCTGGCGTGAAATCCACAGGCTCTGATATCCAAGGTAAAAGTGAAACAAAAGCAGACTCTAGAGAACTTGAGAACTGGAAAAGTGGGAAAAAGAGACACACTCTGCTATCGCTGACCTATTGCTTAAGTGACACAAAACTGGATATCAAACTCTTAGATTGCTAACTAGTGAAGAAGCCTGAGGTGGTTTCAAAGTTTTGATCTGGTGAGCCTTCAAACAAGGATTCCCTGCACTTGAACCGAAGCAACAATCATCCATTCTTGTCAGAATTGATGTGTCACTGTGAATGTGAATCTCCCCTGGGTCCAATGGAGGAGATCTGTGGTTATGGTAAAGGCAGGAAGGGCAAGGAGATTTGCCAATGTACACGCATGCTCACCAACATCCCTGGTATTGTCCCTGGTGAGCTTGATTGGGTCTAGAGTCACTGCAGTTCTAGTTGGAATGGATTCCGAAAACCCAAGAAATACGAGGGTATTGGAAAAATGCAAACTTGCTGGCTAGTACACAATAGAGAAGTGTGTAAGGATATCTGGCACATAGATAGTAAAGAGAAATTTGGGGCCCCTACGTAGATCTGTTACACAAAGCCCAAGGGGGAAGGACTCAGGGTGGGACATGAAAAAATGCAAAGCTGGTTCTGTTGATTCAAAATGTGAGTGTGAGTTGATCAAACATGTCAATAGGGAGGTCAAACAACTTACTGGGCAGAAACATGAGGGTGAGCTAGTGTTGAATCCTCATGTTCTGCCCAAGTTTAAATAAGCTCCCATTTTTCCAAGAAGGGAACTCCGTCATTGGAGTTCCTTTGAGGATCGGAATGATCCAGTCCTCAACGCAGGGGCAAATCTGTGGTTTGAAACATGAAAGAGGGGGTCTTCAACAGATGCCTCTATGCACAACACTTGGTTTGAGCAATGCTGGAGGTGTCTCTAGGGAACATGACTTGAGCGCATACAAGCTGTACACTGAGGGAGCCTGTCTGGGAGCATTCCCTTATACATGTGTGCCGTCACCATGAGGTCAAGCTCAAAAGAAGACAGCATTTAGCACTTGGAAAGAAGTTCATGGGTTCTAGAGCTTCTAGGGAACTTTAAACTTATATTAAGGAGTGCTTCTCTAGCTCGCAATCAGTGCCTCTTCTGTTGCAGGTACCAGGGCTAATAGGGCTGACTTGGATGCTGGAAAACACTGTTTTTGCAAGTTTCTTCTCTCGCTTTCCACGCCAAATTATCAAGGCAAGAACAGACACTTGCCTGCATGTATGTTTAAGTGCTTTGGTACTATGAATAAACAATAATGCTATTCAACAGCACCAGATGATGTCCTCAAACCATGGATACAGTATTATGTGCATAGAGGGTTGACAAACCCTGAGATAGTTACAAGACTTAGGAACCACTATAACACAGCTGAATACAATGCATTGTAACTGTGCAGGCTTGCATTAAATTATCCATAGCACCCCCTGACTCATATATTAGACTTGATGTGGTAAAAAAGCAACATTGTACATGGGAGATTAAATCTGCCAGAGGCCAAGTACACACCATTGAGAGCATTGGACCTGCCATTGAATATGTCTGGATGTGTTTTCCACACCAAGGGTCACATGACATGAAAGAAACTTTACACCATGAAGAAAGCCTATTTGTGCCATGGTAAGCTAACTGCTCAGCAAAAAATGGTAGCCTGACATATGTCCAGAGAACTTATTCTCAAGTACATGAACATGCACCATGCTGACAAGATACAAGCACGGAAATATAGGCACTTGAAATGGAGCCAGTTTTGAATGGCTGGTGTTTATGACATCTGGACACTTGATCAACATGACAAATGGCGATGTTTTCAGCTCTTTCTTCATGTTTGTATAGAGCCATACTCTGGCTATGTCCTTTGGCTCAAATTATGGTGGACAAATTGCAATCCAAGATTGATATGCAGCTGGTACTGCGATACAGTCAGAGAGCTTGGCAGTACGTACCTTTTCCTTGAATCAATGGCCACCAAACTAACTTATGAGCATATTTAAGAGATGCCTCTGATTACCCAAAGTGACTGAGGAACCAAGAACAATGGTGTTGCCAATAGCCACACCCTCTTGAGGCATGCTCATGATCCATACTTCGCAAACACTTTGCAGCACAAGTTCAAGTTTGTGCATGGCAACATCAAGCCAGAGATCTTCTGGAGTCAGCTTAGGCAATGTTGGACACCAGGGTTTGAAGATATTCTTGATATTGGGCTCATAACGGGTATTTATGACCCTAGCAATTCTCTCAAACGGTAAGCTTAATCCAACTACCTAATTATTATATAATTGTTTGTCTAACTTTCTAAACTCCTGTAGACTCATATTTCAGTACATCTTCATTCCATGGATCCAGCAAGAGTTGGATTTATTCTGAGACTATTCCAACACCACCAAGCCTAGGCAAAACAAGCACAAGTTGCTGCCGCATGGCCACCCTGCAGACATCCTTCATAAACCAGAGATGTTCAATGCAAAGGATTTTGGGGTGCATGAATTACTATATTAATAATGTGAATTAAGGTATCATATTAAAGGCTTCATCAGGTGCTTGTTGAGGCTGATGCACTGGCTGACCTTCAAAACAAGTTTGCGCCTGAGGATCACCCAGTTTTTGAACTGGGAACCCCTCAGTTTATTGAGCAGGCAGATTGCTTTATGATGAGCATGAGATCTCCTGTGGTTGGACGGGATAATGTGTGGGATGTGTATGCTGAACTTCTGGTTTGTTTTCAGGTTATTCAAGAGGAGCCTGTATGGAATCAGCTCCTATCATTGCAGCCTGATATTCCGTCGGATGGCAGCTTACTCAGAGACGAGCCAATGCAGATTTTAAACATGCCCCCATATTGAGAGCCAGTGTCAGCTAATCATTGCAACACCAATCATGGGGGTGCTGGTTGTGTGTTGTCTTCTGATGACGAGTCAGAGTACGTAGAGTTTACAAGTGATGAGGAGGTGTAGCACTGCTTTATGCTGTCCTAGTACTCTGTATTATTGACTTATCTTGAACGTGGCCTATGCAGTGGCACCCTTGTTAATCACACCAAGGGATCATATGAGAGTCTTTTTTTGTTATGAAGTCTGTAAACAAGATTTTTTGAGTACAATGAGGTGATATATTGCATTATCAGGTACAAGGCTCCAAGAATCTTTTGGTATCATATCAGCCAAAACAATTAGCATGAAGTGTGTTGCTGCCTCTGCCACTATCAAGCAAGCATGCCCGCTACACTCCATGTCTCCCCCTCACGCTCACACTCCCACTTCTTCTCTCACTGGTGCTCATAAAATTGTGGGAGCAGCATATCAAGTAGCATACCCACCTCCATTATTATTATTATTATTATTATCTCATTTTAGTGTCCATCGGAGCGGTGGCTCCACGTCGGACATGATCTACCGTACTGTATTGTAATGTTATGTAGTGGTTGTTAGTCTGCGTATTGTGATACTCAACATTTACTCGCCATCCCCCCGGGATGTGAGCAATGAGGGCTAGGGTCGATGTGCGATCCTCCAGTGTTTTGTCCGCGTTGTTCTCCCTATTGGTACCCACCTCCATTGCCACCCCTTTGAGCTTACTCTGTTCCAGCACCTCAAGACTCAGCCTCCATCCATTTGCATGATTCGCGCTGTCTGCATCACACACATTTGGGAGTGCATACCACCATGCCACCAGCTGATCGTGCATGCACATCACCGGTGCATGGCGCACCATGCCCTTGTGCTTGCCCCTGACCCACATGCGCAATCCCTGGTTCTGCAGCCTCCACACAACCACCTGCCGCCACTACACTTGCGCACCTGCCCCTGCCTGTGCTGTGTGTGGAGCCTGTTCAGCCGCTGCTGGTAGCCGTGCCGACCTTGAACCCCTCAAGTACAGTCTTGTAGAAGAGCCCAACAGCCATAGCAATGTTGATGATTCCGAAGGCAGAGTATAGGCAGGTGAAGATGTGTGTGCTGGAGGTCTGTGGAGTGATGTTGTTAAACCAATGGTTTTGATGGAGATGACAGTGGGGAAGAGGGTGTTGATGAAGGAGAGCTCCATGAGGAAGATGATGATGAGGGACCCAAGGGCAAGATAGGAGAACAGGATGATGTTTATGGTAATGAGGGAGTATTGTTTGCATGTTAGGCCACTTCCTGTGCACAATGCAGAGAAGGAAATGTCAGAGGTGGGTGAGCATAGGGAAGACCATGCTGACTGATCATGCTCGTTGAAGTAATAATGCTCCACTCCAAACTTGGTGACAGCAATGATGTTGATGAGATCTATAAGGATGGTCATGAAGATGCTCAGCCCCCTTAGAGAAGCAAGATATACAGTGTGCAGATAGAAATATAACACAAAAGATTGTCACCGTCCTCACCCTTGTCGCGATCGCACTCACGACAGCATGACCAGTCATGACACGTACAATTTACTTACATTTCACACATCGTCGTTGAAGTCGCAGCTTCACTTCTTGGTGCAATAGGTCATGTGACTGGCTACCTCAATAACTGGTCACGTGACCCGGTTCGGTTACCTTACTTACCCGGCTTACATAATCATTCCATGACATTCCCGGACATTCCATATGACTTCATCATGATATCATAAACGCGTCATCAACACGTCATATATGACATCACCCATACAACACTCCTTTACCATTAGTGGTAGTACCTCGCACTGCTTGGTCTGTGCGCACACAGTCGTTACCATATTAGTTAGTCTGTTTGGTCCAACCAAACATCATGTATTAGTATATAGTCTGAGCAATCTACGCCCCAAGACTCTAAGTGAGTTCTTGTGGGATTTCCTCCTAATAAGTCCATCGCCTAGTCTTGCCATGTCGGCGAGCAGTCAACACTCCTCCCTCCCGCACTATTCTCTCGATGTCGTACCGTACAGGGCTTCGTCGTCTTTTCTCGTGGGATCTGTTGTGTAGTTGGTTTCTGGGGCTCGCGCCTTAGGAGTCGCTCACAGTCCTCAACCTCTTCTCCAAAAACCTAAATACAAGTGCAACATTTGCAGCGACCGCACATGCCATGCTCAGTGCAAGCCCCACATTGAGAATAGCGGGGTTGGGCATGGTGTCAATGATGTGCCCATTGTCTGTAGTGATGTACCAGCACTTGGTGATGCCTGGTATCTCAAACAGGATTGAGAAGGGGATGAGCACACCTGAGATGAGAGCGGTAGTACGGTGTGTAGTTCTCAACATCCTGTGCAGTGAACAAGGCTTTTGCACTTGCACCTGACTCGGAGGCACGTGGTGGTCCCAATGCAGAGTTGGTTGACAACAACCCCATTCTGTGGTGCAGATGCGGCCTTGCAGTGTGCGTAGCTGCATGTGCCTGTGTACTTGCAGCCAACAGATAGCTGCCCATGCACGAGCACAATGTATTGGGCAGTAATGGAGCCAACAGCATCAGCAACTAGTGGCAGAGTGTAGAAACTGATGCAACACATTGAGAACCTGGATGCACATCAAGCAAAATCTATATATTCACCTAATACACATTCAGAACTAATAGGAGTAAGTACACATTACAAAGACCAGGAGAAACAAAATGGACTCGCCCCAGAGGTACGTGCCAAAGCAAAGTCCAGAACCCGAAGGAAGGGAGTCAAGAGGGAAAGGGACCAAGGGGTGCCAGTGGCGGACACGGTCTGTTGGTCTAGTGAGCAGTTGCTGTTGTAGCGTAACTCAACCAGCAATACATTTGCCTACCCTTACTTTACAGCCATGCAACCTCTGGCTGATAATCATAAATTCTCATATATTGTTTGTTCCTCACATATACTTGAAACTCAGTTGAGTCCTGACACTGGCAAGACACAGCACAACTTCCAAATCAAACCGGCACCAAACATCCACCATACTATTTCAGGTCAAACAATCCTCTCAACCTTATCCCAAAGTGAGAATATCATCACAAGGGATATCAGTTAATGAGAATGTTTATGAGTGTTAGTTGTATATTTATTCTATTTTTGGTGTGATTTTGTTGTTTGCATGTCTGTCCACCTCTCTAAGTTTGAATGGGTTAACCAAGAGTGAATTGTCCCTAACTAAGTTCAGTTTGAGCCCCGGGTGGACAGGGGACAAACTCAAGGTCATAATGGTACAATAGTAGTATTTCAGCTGGCTTTTATACTAGTTAGACTATAGGAGTACTTGTACTACTCCTTTCTTTGTAGTTTAGCTTATGATTATTCTAATGTATGTGTTCTACATCCCCAGGGCTTGGCCCGGGGTTTATGATCTACCTGCTGGCCTTCCCAAAGTTCAGCCTATCTGTTCTTGTGTTTTTCCCATCGGTACATGATCTTTCCAACACTCATCTGCATCTCTCGTGTTTATTTTGTTCATCTCGGTGTTGGCAATTACTCACGTGTGCTTGCGCGCTTTCTCACTCTCAATATTCCCCCACAAACCTTAGTTCATGCCAAGACCTTTGACATGTTCTTTGTGTCTCCGTTTGGGAAGAGGTTTGGTTATTATATCTGCTGTCATTTTATCTGTAGGACAGTATCTAGTTTCTATTTCATTATTAGCTATCTTTTCTTGAATAAAATGAGGTCTGATTTGAAAGTGCTTTGTTCTTTTGTGAAGTTTGGGGTCCTCAGTCAATGCAAGTGCCAATTTATTATTCCCATATGTTCTCATAGGCTTTTTCTGTTTATATCCTAGCTCTTATAATAAGGTTTTTATCCGTGGAGCTTCTCAGGCTGTGAACAACATAGTAATATATTCTGCTTCTGTAGTAAATAGCACAATAGCATTTTGCTTTTTTGATCTCCAAGTGACACCACTGGCCAACTTAAAAATATATCTGGAAATGGATAGTCTATCTGTTGCATAATCTGAGTCTGAAAACACATGCAGCTTGATGGTAATATCAGCATCAAAGCTTATTTCATCTGTATATCCTTGTAGGTCCACTTCTTTTTCTTATTTATATGTTATGCCCAGTTTTTTTGTACTGGATAAGTATCTTAATACACACTTTGCTGCCACCCAATGCGTGAGATTTGGGTTGGCAGTAAACATGCCTAATCTATTTACAGTAAAGGCTATATCTGGGCTGGTTGTGCACACAGCATACATCAGTGAGCCTATAAGTAATGCATACTTATTTCTCTAGTTATTTTCTGCAGGCGTTTTTGGGCTTAGCTTTGTTTTTGTTGCCATAGGTGTAGCAACTTTATCAGCATTGCCTAGCCCCCATTTCTTTAGAATTGACACAATATATTTAGTTTAGGTTAATCAAGTGTGCCCTCTTCTCTATTCTAAGTTATCTCAATTCCCTGACAATTTTACTTGGGTTGCTGAGGTTGGTTGGCTCAAAAACAAAGCTAAATTCATTTTTTAGTTTGGCCATTCTATCTTTTGTTTTGGTAAATAATAGTAGATCATCCACTCAGACTGTGATAATTTCACAAGTCTTATCTGCTTTTCTAATGTATACACAGGAATCTGATTTCAATCAAGTGAAACCTTTCTTTTCTAATCTTTGGTCTAATTTATAGTTCCATTTTTGGCCTGACTGCTTCAAGCTGTACAAAGTTTAATTAGTCTACAGACACAGTTTGTGCTGTCTTCAAGGCCAAGTGGCTGTTTCATATATACTTCTTCTTTTAGTTTTCCATTTAAATAGGTGCCTTTAACCCCAGTGAAAATGGCTCTGATCACTAGCAACATGTAGCAACAGAGGACAACTGATCTGACAGCATGTGACTACCACAGACTGTTGGCAACTACATGACTCAAGTTGTGTCAAATAACTGTACACTATTCCCTTCCAAATGCATGTAGACATTTTGCCTCCACAAAAAAACCCTTTCAGTTCAAACAGCCAAGATCTGATCAAGTCAGTGTGTCCCAAATGTGCAAGTTTTTAATCAACCTAACTGAGGTTGCCAATCCCACCTCAACCACATGTTTGAGGTAACAGCTAGTCTAATTGAAACAATGGCACTGTATAGATGCACTTGTAAACTCATTCCATGCAGCTGTCAAACATACTGTTGTCCAATCCCAGGCATGACCCAGAAAGATGTCAATAAAGATACATTTGTGATGCACAAGAAAATTGAAGAGGCAAGAGTAGCTCACAAAGAAGACACTGCATGCAGACTTGCCAAGTGGGAGTCTTGCTGTACTACTGAAGGATTGGCCAGCAAGAGAAGGTGTACGGACTTCACATGCATGGATGTGAGTATATCAATGACTGGCTCTATTGTACTGGAAACAGCTTTTCAGTCCACATACTACTTTCTCCAGGACAACCAACACTAAACCATAAGTTAGGCGTGGAACCTCGTAGAACACTACTGTTACAAGTTTTAGCTTCTTACTTATCAAGGCCTCTAAGGGTTGATTCTTATTAGCCTGAGTCTAATGTTACTCTTAGCATAAATACTTAGTAGTATTAGAGGTAGACTAAAGTCTGAGGAGATGAGGCTCAGTACAGCATCTTTATATACTGTCTATCTACTGATTATGTAATCCTGTAGCAATAATGCTATTGGTTAAGGATTGCCATTGTTCTACTTGTTAGGACAATAGTAATTACTCATGCAGTGACTTACTAATGCCTGATTACTCAGCTATTACTCATCCAATGACTCAGCAGTAAGCAATGATGCTACTGGTATTACATTATCTATTGTACACTGCTAATAGTTGTACAACACTGATAATGTGCAAGTAAGTACTAGTATTCATGAAGCACTACTCAAATAGAAGATACAATAAAAAATAGTCCAGTAAAAGAGACAATGAAGCCTGACAAATACCAACTGCCCTGCAGGTCATAATACCATATCCGTGGGGGACCAATGCACCTGGAGGCAAAACTTGGCTTGGGTGGTGAGCTTGGGGACCAGCAGGAGCTTGGCAACAATTTTGGCAATCAACAGGCACTTGGCAAGGATCTAGTAGGTGATCTAGTTCAGCCTGACTCTGGCAGAAATCTAGACAACCAACAGGCACTCGGCAAAGATCCAGTAGGCAATCAGCTTGACTCAGACAGAAATCTAGGTAACCACCAGGCACCCGGCAATGGTTTGATCAATCTGACACCTGCTGATCACGCCAGGATGCAACCCTTTGTGTCAGAAGAACTCAAGGAGCCACAGTTGCCTCCCAACAACAACCACTTCACATCTGGTTGGACAGACAAGGATATTGATACTATTGCTTGTGATATACTGTACTATTTTGACCATAGGTTCAGTCCCCTGTCCACCCCCCCCCCTCCTGAACCCAAACCTCCAGGGTGGACATGTCCACCCCTAATACCCCCTGCAAACCTAAGGGGGTAAACACATGGTAGAAACACAAAAAACCTGTAATTTCCAATGATTATTCTAAGATAATGTGCTACTGAATATTCTAATGGCCCAAAAACCCCTCATACCACGTGTTAGAAACCTTACAACACTTTTCCCGACCAAAAACAACCTCCTCAGGAACATACAACTCCTCTAGGTTGATGTCAGGGTTGTCTGCCATGCCCGGCACAGTGGGAAGAGTGCTGGTGTCATTGCCTGGAAGCATTGAGTGAAGCAGAGAGCAGGTCAGCAAGCTCACTCACCAGTGAGACATCTCCTCGAGTAGAGCACGACATGGATGTCATACTCAGATCAGCTCACTAGGCTAGCTTGCCAAGTTTGTCACAAAACGGCAAGGATAAAGCAGGGAGAGGCAGATCTACGAGGCGTGAAAACACGTCAGTGACTTCATTTGTGCATCAAGAAGACTAAGAAGCTGCACAAAATGAAAGATGTATGGAGACATACCTTGCGCATTCATGGCAGCATTGACCTGGCGTGGTGCCTCAAGAAAGGGGTGGACAGCATCCAATTTAGCCAACAAACCTTGTCCACCCCGGTTCGGCCCTCCAAACCTAAGGGGATGGACAAACAGTTATGGTAAGTCACTTTAAGCTCTGATTCCCCACGCCACTGCGAACCTATGGTCAAAATAGTACAGTAATACTAGAGCATGTGAAGTGGTCAATTGAGTTCATCAGGCTAATTTGGAATGCCTCTCTTGAGAATCACCATAACTTTATAACTCCAGAGGCTGTAACTTGCCTGCAAAACCCCTCAAAATATCTCAAAGGGCTTGCCAACCTGGATATGCTACTCTACATTGAATAGTACCTTACCAACCCCACAGAGGAAGCCTATCGAGCTTTGTGTGACACTGAACTCAGGTGACATCCAGGGCAAAAGGTCTACTCTATGGCCTCTGTCAAAAAATGAATTGAACAACTCATAGGCATTCAGCCAATCTGCATACACATGTGCCCAAATTCATGCCTAGCCTTCACCAAACCATTTGCTGATCTCGATAACTGCCCTCTGTGTTGGAAGCCTTGATATAATCCCAAGGACTCTTGCAAAAAGGTCCTGATCCTCATGTTCTCTACTCTATCTATCAGGCCACAGCTGCAGGCTCTGCGGAGGAATCCAGAACATGCTGCTATAATGGTGTACAGTGATATTCAAACCAAGAAGATTTTGGCTGCCCTACAAGAAGCTTGTGGCAAAATTGATCAATATAATGCCATACAACATGGAGCTCAGTATCTACACTCTGTGAAGCAAGATTACATCAAGCCTGGCAACCCTGTTCTGATGTTCTCTATTAATGGCACTCAACTGTACAAGTTCAAGCAATCAGACTGTTGGATCTATATCTGGGTTGTTTCAGTCACTCTCTGACTGATCAATACAAGAAGAAGTTTGTTATTCCAGCTGGTGCTGTGATCCCAGGTCCAAAAAGAAACCAAAAAAAATCTGGATTTGTTCCTATTTTCTGGTTTCCACCAGCTCTCAGCAATTCAGTGTGAGGGCCTCAAAATCTGGGATGCCCATCTTAAAGCAGAGAGCCTTCAGAACCCTTTCTTTTTTTTATTACTTGTGCTAACAGACCTAGCTTAGCATTTTTTAATAAGATGGGGTGGCCACACCTGCAAGAAATGCTGTTGTACTGTATGCAGCTTTACTGGACAACACAAACCTGGTGCGCCAACATATTATCCAGCTTTACTTGAGTCCTGCTTCTGCTAGTGCCAGCCTGACCAGCACAATGATGGACATTAACATGGCAATATCACCATCAACTTGTTAAACCATAATTGACCTCACTACAAAGTCAACATGAAACAGATTGCAAAGTGTCAAAGTATCAAAATACAAATGAGTACAAACAGGCCTGGCTTTGACACTGGCATCTGCCAACCGAGTATCCTCTCTGCCTTTCCTGACAACTGAATCCTTGCTGTACCATACTGCTATGGCTCCAATATTATCTACTTGGTGGCCTTCAATGTAACTGACACCATGGTCCCTTTATGGCAAGGTATCTTTAAACTCAACAAAGTGACCTTGGATCCCCCTGACTTGAAGGCAGAATGGCACTGGGCCATACTTACAGGCAACGTTTAGATTGTACACAGCGAGTATGTTGGTTTTGACATAATGTATCTCCCTGGGTTGTTTGATAGACCACCTCAAATCCCAGCTGAGAAGATCAACAGCAGGTATAAGGTATGGAAGTACTTGCTGTATTTTTATGGCATGTGTCCTGCCATCCTCTATGGTGTTCTTTCAGAGCCTTATTATGGCAATTTCTGCCTTCTTGTGAAGGCCATGCACATTCTAATGCAGCATAGTATCCCCACCAATCAAATGAACAAGGCCCACATTGAGATCCTCACATTTGTAGATCAGTTTAAATGCTTGTACTACCAGTGTTACCTTAATTGCCTCCATTTTATGCATCCATGGCTACATGCACTCACACATCTTGATCCTGTGGTTTGCAACAAGGACTCTGCTATCTGCTCATTGCAGTGGACTATGGAGTGAGGAATTGGTAGCCTGGGAGGCGAGCCATGCCTACATTCAAATCCTTTCACTAATCTTGAACAGTGTGTGATAAATCAAGCACAAATAAATGCTCTGTCTCTTATCTGGCTGTTCCTCAATCATACCACAAACAAAACTTTGCCCAGAGGAGCTGAGGATCTTGGTGACAAATATGTTCTTCTGGGATCAAAAGATTAGCAGCCTACCCAGCTTGACCCAAAACAGTGCCATGTTATTGGCCAAGCACTGCAAAAACATGGCATCAAGACATCAGATGAGTTTTGATTGGTGCATTGGGCACATCTTAGGCTGCCAAATGGACAGGTGGCCCATTTTGCATGGAAGGAGAATCTGATGACTAGATGTCCAAGGATCTCCCACAAAATCAAGGTATGCACTGGATCTAATGCATTGATAATCTCAGACATTAACTAGTTATAGTACAAAGAAGATGGCAAGATGAAATTTGTTGAAGTCTAGTTTTATTTCTACGTGGCAGGCAAGCCCTTTGCTCTTGTCTCTTGTTACAGAGAATCCATTCAAGTGCTCCTCAAAGCATCACATGGTACTGTCATCACCTGCCAACATCCTCACAATATCAGTTGTCTTGTTTTATTCATATCAAGTCCATACAATCCATTGTTGCTATGATCCTACACCAGTTCCTTTGGATCAACTGCTTACTTTTCTATGTTGTAGAGAAATCTGGATTAGAGATAGCTGTATTTTTGGGATATGAATTCTCAAAGAATTCATAGAAGAGGACAAGTAGTTGTATTAGAACTTGTATGTCACAATACAACTGCTATGCTGATACCAGAAATGAAGGTCATTTAAACAAATGGCAGGAAATATAGTAATTAATAACAAGGACATATAGTAGTGTGTAGACAAAATAAAGGGCTTATGCTGGCAACTCCTTGCTCTTACCCGGTGAGGTCTTTAAATGTGTGGCTACATGGTACAGGTTCTCCTCCTCCCACAATTCTGGCTGTGTGACCAATTCTGGCTGTGTTAGGGACTCTGGCTGCATGAGGGACTCTGGTTGCATGAAGGATGCACCAGGTGATGCAAGGTTGGTGACAGGAAATCCCATCAGACGTGTCAAGGCCATATACAAGGGCTGGATAAGAGCCATGTCCTCTGGTGATGTTACCCAAGTTGGTAAACAAAGGGGAGATCCATTGCGTTAAGTGTCAATCGCAGCCATGCTGGAGCTAGCATGATTGATGTTGACTTACAGCAGTGTCATTGGCAGGAGGATTGGTGCTGTTTTTGACCTACATATAACCTTTGTTTGTATTGTAATACTGATAGAAATAATAGGCATATCTCCAGAAAGTCATGAAAGAGCAAGAGCTTGGTATCCTCAATGTTTTCGTCAAGTTTGATTTGCTTGTAGGTATGCATGAAATGTGACAGAGGAGGAGGGTTGCTAATAACTTGATGGTGCATGATTCAATAATTGTTTGAATGTAGTTGGAGGGTGATTGGAATTGATGGTGTCAGTACAAGTTTCAGTTGATGACTCAGCAATATGACTGAGGACCTTTTGAAATGTCTTTTTTGAGTTTGTGAAAAGCCCTGTGTCCTTGTCGAGTTTGATGTGGTATGTTGGATGTAAGTGACAAGGCTTGCTGTGCCTTTTTCTTTGCGGAGAAAACAACCAATGGTTGTTTTTTGAAATACAAAGCTGTGGGCTGAGATGCGGGGAACAGGGGGCATTCTGACAGGTTGGAGATGTTGATGATTTTTGTGTCAGACACTGTCAGTGGATTGAAAAGCACAAAGGAAAGATGTGCCATCCAAGTGTGTCCCAAATTCAGGGGTACTGTGGGAAATTGATATAAGATCACTATCAGCTAGGTGCACTGACCTCCTTTGCAAATCTCTGCTTATCTATTGTTTGCAATTCATATTGTTCTCTTTCAGCAAACATGCACCTGGTCCAACAGTAACTTCATAAACACGGATGAGATTGATGATAAAAGCACTATGTCCAGTGCCCCCAATCACTTCAAGCTGGGGGTGTAACTACTATGGGGTACGCAAATGAATTTGATCTCACTATACCCTTTTTATCACCAACACTGCCTCATGTTGTCAGAGTCTGGGTCAAGCAGACTGGTGAGTTGAGCATTGGGACCTTTGGCATGAGCTTGAAATAGTGACTCATCAGAAGAATGAGGTGGAGCACTAGCAAAATTGTTCCTCTGCTACCTGATATCCCCAAAGGAAAGGACAATGTTTCTTTGCTCAACTATGCAGATCCCTTCAAGCCCCTGAAAAAAGAAGACTACCCAGAAGTGGAGAGTATTTGGATGAAGGGTGCATGGGAAAAGAATGAGAAGTAAGTCAGAGAGACGGCTGCACTCAGGTACAATGCTCAAATGAACAAAAAAGGTCCTGGGTGGCAGTGCAATGACAAGAATGTCAACAAGTTGTTTCTGCAGAATGTCATGGGAGACCCAGTTTCTGAGCTCAAGGCAAGGGCCCTCCACAAAACAGTATCATCTTTTTTCATCAGTCTTCTTGGTGTTTACAACATTTATGACATGCTGTACACATGGGGAACAATGGAATATGACATGAAACAGTGGGTTTGGAAGGCAGTACACATAGTCTGTCCTCTGTTCTGACTTGCTGAGGACAACTGAAAGTACAAAAAACTAATTAACAAACTTTACTCCTGCTTCCACCAATTGAACCACAGGCTGGCCAACCTGAGGGCAAAGAAGCACATCCAAGATGCAACAGTCAAACCTTTGGGTGCTAGATGAAAGTGTGCAAAGACCTCTGGACCCGGTGGTACAGAAAATGAAGACAGCAATCAAGTGGCTGAGGAAAACACCTCTGTTCCTGCTGTGGAGTCAGGATGTGTCAAAGGTGCTGGTAATAACACAGCTCTTCCTGCAGAGGCAGAACACATCAAAGGTGCCACCAAGACCACAGCACCACCTACAAATCAAGTATGCAAGCCTGAGAAGCAATTGTCACAAGTGGTGGGTAACAAAATACCCAAGGTGGAGGAACAACAATCAGTCAAGAGGGAGAGCACTATTGAGCTGATCCTCTGTGAGCTGTTCATGTTCTCAGCTAGTTGGTCAGTGTTTGTCTCACAGGCGTTATAACAGGGCCTGCATTCTTGTGTTGGGAGAGGCGGCACTTGTCAATAGGTACACATTTTTTGTTGATGCTATCCTTCCTTGCATCATGTTGCGATCGTATTCACAAACAGTCACGACCAGTCATGACACTTACGATCGCAACAAAAGCTCGTGAAGTGCATTGTCATTCCGCTTCACTTTACTTTACATGATCACGTGACCGGCTACTTCAATAACCAGTCACATGACCCGGTTCGGCTATTTTACATTACCGGCTTACTTAGTCATTCCATAACATTCCCGGACATTCTTTATGATATCATCATGATGTCACAAACACGTCATCAACGTGTCATACATGACATCACACATACGTCACTCGTTTACCATTAGTAGTAGTACCTCGCGCTGCTTGGTCTGTGCGCACACTGTCATTACCATATTAGCTAGTCTGTTTGGCTCGACCAAACATCCTGTACTTGTATATAGTCTGAGCAATCTACGCCCCAAGACTCTAAGTGAGTTCTTGTGGGATTTCCTCCTACAGTTCAGCGCCTAGTCTTGCCACGTCGGCGAGCAGATTATACTCCTCATCCTGCCTTCCCCTCTTGGCGTCGTCCTGTATAGGGCTTTGTCATCTACCTCTTTGTGCAGTGCTTGCGTGTAGTTGGTTTCTGGGGCTCGCGCCTTAGGAGTCGCTCACACATCAGCTGATTCTTTCAGTACCACACCATCTCCTGGCCCTGTTTCTCCTCCTTGAGTCCCCTGTTCCCAAATTGACCCCAACCTCCAAGACAATGTTGATCAATCCTTGCAACAACAGACTACCACATATGTGCAAGCCCTAGCAGAAAGCGATACTGCATCTGAGGAAATAGTTGAACCAGAGCAAGAACAAGAGCCCGCAACATCTCAAAAACAGTGGAAATTTGTGATTCCTGAGACACACACTGCAAAGTACATATATAATTGCCTTTGTGCTATCAATCAGCTCACTGAATTCAGGCAGGAGTACATTCATGCTTACATCAATGAGAAACTTGCAGAGCAATCTGAACACAATCTGGACAATAATCAATGTACTATAATAATCATTGGAAGGAGGAGTCTAGGGATACAAAATGTGTGGAGGTACATTATTGTTCATGTAATATTGACTTGTCTAACATCCATTGTAGCACTGGGAGAAGGAAGCTGCAGACAATACAGCCAAGAATCCCACCATCGCTAGAAAGACTCACTCCAAGAAGATCACAAAAATGTGAACTGTACATCCATTGGATGTTTGCCTGTGTAGCTCTCTGTTATAATCCTTGTCTTCCTTGCATGTGCCCCCACAAGGCCCGTAGTTTCTTCTGCATTGGACGTGTTATTTACTTTCATTTGCTATCAGTTGTTTTCAGTCAGCTTTTGTCACTCCCAATTGCTGTCAGTTGCTCCATTCCCTATTTTTTGGCTTCTACTTGCCATCACTTGCATTTGCTTTCAGTCACCCGTTGTTGCTAGCTGTCAGAGTGTGTCTATGTTTGCAAAATCAAAAGTTTTATTGCATTCTTTTACCAACTCTGTATGACTCTGTGCAACTATGTATGACTTTAAGTACCTTTATATGACTGTGAATGACTTGAATTATAAGTGTTTGTAGTACTTGCAACACAATCAGCTAGTCACAAACAGTCTCTTTTAGTCGGGTCAAGTTGCTTGTTGTCTATGTCAGTCATTGCTCTGACAGAGTAAATGTAACTTATGATGTTGCTTGTTTTGAACTGTGCACAACTCTTAATGACACAAGTGGTCTCAACTTTGACAACTAGAGTTGCCAGTTGTCACTCAGTCAAAACAGTCACTTTCTGTTGCTCTGATGTCTCCCACAATCAGTAGTAAATAGAGTCATTGTCACTGGGCTTTAATGTCTGTTCATCTGTAAAAGTGTGTGAGAATATCGGGCCTTTTAGCCCTCGTGAAAGTACACCGGGTTTTGTTACGTATATTGAACATTGGTGAGGGATATTGGCTGATTGCCAGGAATTGTGAGATGGAAGGTCATTTCACCAGGCCTTGTGAAATTGTCTCCAGTTTTGCCAGGGATATTGGCCATTTTCGAAAACTGGACTCAGTTTGAAAACTGTCAAAACTACTCACAATTTTCCTACATGTTTCGTCATGGCTGACGAAGCACTAATAGCCGTGACAAACTGCTTGTAATTATGTAGAGCCATGCGGTTTGGTGCACGCTGACACACACTGCCTTTGCGCGTGAGGGAGGCTCAGGTGGAATCTATCATGCAGCCAAATACGGCAACTGGGTTAAAACTCCGATATATCATGTGTTCGCATTTTGTCTCCGCGTTTCCCTCTCTCTTCATACTATGTTCTTCCAGCAGCATGTGCTGGTACCCCAGTCCGTATTGGCGGCTACCACTGCGACCTTGCGCGTGGCCTGGGGAGATACGCACAGATGAGGGCTGGGCGGACATCTGCTCTGTGCAAGGCAGACTCTCCGTCAGCCCTCATCTTTTCTCTCTCCTAGTCCATGCAAAGGCCAGCCAGAGCGCATGCACCCGTAATAATGCCCCAGTTAATAGATAGAGGCTCAGTCCGCACACAAAGCAAGGGTGGAGCCTTGATCAATAATTCAACGCAACAGTATGCCTGGTTAAGCAGTGCGTGGGGACCAACATGCACACTGAGATGTCCGTCTCGCACGTCTCAACGTGGATCTTGTTGAGCTACAAAGTACCTGTCGCCTCTGTATTCTACACTTAGCACTGGTTTCTAATAAATAGTGCTATTACTGGAGTCTAAAACATGTCGAAGTCTCCTAACTAGAAACTGAATTTCCAGATACAGAGGATTGATTTCGGTGCTATCACCACACCCCAAATCCAGCCATATCAACAAGCCTCTCATCTTCACCTACTATCTCGTCAAGTGGATCATTTTCACCCAACTCTTCCTCATCCGAAGTGTTCTTGTCATCATCTGAGCTCCCGCCCTTGTCTGAAGTGTTTTTCCCTTTGTTTGTACCATCCTTGCCGTCATCTGTAGTGTCTTCAGTTTCACAATCAGTCTCATCAAGGTCAGTTTCCCATTCATCCTCGTTCTCTTCTGGCACTTCTCGAGCTTCCACCCGGTCCTCGCTCCCACTTAGTTCTGAGTGATCTTCCACACACATTGAGAAGAGTGTCCCAAGGTCTGGTCATGGTATGACCAACTCTGCCACTGAGAAAGCACATGAACATGTCACGGTCTGCAAAACTGGAGTCTCCCTTAGTATGTAGACTCACAGGAATAATACAGCACTTACATTCCAATGCAATAATGAGACCACTAATAAACAGACTCGTTGGCTTTTGATCCAAAGTGCATGCGAGAGATATTATGAGGAATGGATGGACCAGGAACACAGTCAGATTCAAAACCTGGCAAGAGGTGGACCAAGCGAATAACTGTGCTGGGGTCTATAAAATCCCAGCATTCGGATGTACCCAAAGGGAAGAAAGAAACACGGGAAAGGCAGCGGTGAGCAAATATGTCTTGGAAGTTTGAATCCTGGTGCAGCCATTGGATGAGTAGAACATCAAGATGGTGTGATTTTGATGGATCTTCATGGTGGAAGCAAACCATTACATGAAAAATGAATGTTACCCGTGCATACCAGTACGGGTGAGCATTCTTGTTGGTCAGTTCATCCTGGGACAAGAGCATGATGTTGGGATGTGAATTAGGGTTGATGGTGTCATGTTCTTGGTGGAGATCATATGTAGTAAAGTTGATCCAAAGTGTCTTATGTTCATAGAGTTTCTCCTTGCTAATGATCAAAGAGTCAAGCACGTTTGAAGAGTAATCAATTTTGTCAGAATTCGGGAGATCTATAACATCAGGGATGTTATTCTGCTCACGCAGGTGATCAAGTATATGAGTTTTGAGGCACAGCTCAAATTCCTGCAAATTGTAATTGTTATAATGTCAGAAGTCAATTAAACAGTAGTTTATATAAACTCACAGTCTTCTCTATTCCAAATGATTTGTCCATGGCTTGAATAAAGTCATAAAGTGAGTGCGAAGTCTGTGATTCATGAGACATCCAGTACCTCTGCTGAGGATCAGTAGGGTTGACATCAGCATTCCCAGAAAGCTCAGGCGCCTCCGAGGATGTGGCTTGCAGTGGTGTAAATGTTGCCTCAAGGTATTTGAGTAGCTTGTTCACATAGCGAGAGCGCAAGTCAAGTCGTGTCATGGAGGCTAGCATGTGATTGTGTTTTTTCCCAGTCCGTGGATAGTGTCCTTTGGAAAGACAATGAGCAAGTTCGCACTGCATAAACCAGAGTCAGCATTAAATGTAGCATGCATGGTAAGTAGAAATACCAGCAATGAATTGTAGTTATCCATAGTACCATAGTGACGGATTGATTTTACGGTGTTGCCAAGCGAGTGGTACTTGTATGTATCAAAGTTCAATACCTTGCGTTTACTGGACTGTGCAACGTTGGTTTTCCGTGCTTTCCCCTTCAAATTGGCAATTTTTGTCACTGCTCTGTGCCCATGAGCAGAAGTCTCAGAGGGTATCTTGCGGGTGTCATACGAGGGGCAGACTTCAGCCTGAAACTTGCGGGCTGATGCTCCTAGACTAATAGTTGTGTGTTCAAGAAGCTCAATAGTGTCATCCGTGTGTAGACACAGTTTTGCAAGCAAGTGCCACTTTCCCAACTCAAAGAGAAGGTCAAGAATGACCTTGTTGTGCATACGGCTGGGAAATATGCCTCCAAATACAGGTAGAGCGCACTAATTGCCAGTTTATTAGAATTCATATGTTAAACAAAGGATTGTACCTGCAATAAGTCCTCAAAATCTTGAGCTGCCATTTTTTTCATAGCAGTTGAGTTCTTACAGAATTGTCAAATGGTGGTCCTTCCAAAACGTGGTATTTGACGATACCTTTACATAGACTTATCAGATGCTGAAGAACACAAAGTGACATGAAATTACTGTTCATCCACTCTTGTCACCACTGTGCCTCCGATGGAAAGCAGCATCCTAACAAGGTGGATGAATATTGACTTCCAAACACTGAGTTCATACTTGTGCAGGAAGTCTGGGACGAAGAGTTTGAAAAAGTTGACTTTTTTATCAAGAAGGAACTCGGAAAAAGCATTCTAGAAAATGGTTAGAACAAGGAAACAATTGGTGGAAGGCTGGTTTACCGTAGTCGGTACATATGAGTGCTTGCCCAGCATGTCATTGACCTGCTTCGAGTTGACAAGACATCCCTTCTTGAATATCTTGCCTCTAGCTGTTCGCACACAAGCCTGATGCTTTTTGCTGTCAAGTCTGATTTTGAGATGTTGTTGCATGTCTGTCATTGTTCCCATCTTGGAGAGGAGGTGTTTTGGTACAAGGCAACGTGGGCATGGGTATTTTGCAAAGTACTTCAGCGTAGATAGGATAATTCTGGACATTAACATATGTTAGCAGCGAAAGTCGAGTTGAGTGAATAGATTTACTTCTCAGGGTAGTCGCCAGTATAAGTTACAATTCGGAGGAGCACCCGTCGAATAATATCATCACCACATTTTGCAATGATACCTTCAGTATATGCACAACAGAACTCCTCATCTTGCAGAATCAATCTCCACACACCATGCACTATTTTGCATTTAAGATGTGTGTGGACTTCTCTCGTAGGTGCTTTCCCATATATCTCTGCATAATTGCTCTGCCAGCCATCTGGAAGCTATAGAATAACATCAGTTCTGTATCTCTCCAAAGGATAAACAACATACACTTGGAATATAGGCAAGATGATGGCATGCTTTAGCTGTGGGCTTTCCACGAGTATATTTTGACTGGTTTCCCACAAACAGATAAATTGGCCAAAGAAATGCTTGCCCAAAATTTGAGAGAAGTGTTGCATCTGAAAAGAGCATGAGCAGGACAACAAACCCCTCATAATCATCTCCAGGAGGGCAAGGAGCAGTGTTGACTTCACGATACATGTCCAAGACAGAATCCGAGCTATATATTTCAGAGTAGACACGGATATCTCTGCCATCCGAGGTTCTCCAGCACTGTTGAAAGGGAGTGGTGTTGTAATTTGTAAAGACATGGTCTTCAAGTACTCCCTTGATGATAGATGCAAGGTTTTGATGATAAAAGTTATTGACAGTAAGTTTGGGGACATGTTGTTCACCTCCGTGCGTCTTCTTTCCTTCAAAAGGCATGGGAATGTTGATTGATGATCTCTTCCATCCATGCTCTTGTCAAAAAGTGCTGTCTTGCTTCATCTTCAAGTAGTTATCGAGATGTGCACCTTCTGTCTGGGGGTTAAAACCCACTGCCTCCTTAGCTTGGTAAAGGGGATGCCCATTGAGTGCTCCAAGCCTCGCCATCTCGGCTTCAGAGTTTCTGTTTGACCCAGTACAAGACCACGCCATGAGTATGCCACGAGTTGCATTAGAGAAAGGAGTCATAGCCTCCTCAGCTGTAAATTCAGCAAGCTGAGGGTCACTTGAAGTGCGAAGGGATGTTGATGGAGATTTCGGTAGTCCACCTTGGAGTAGAGGACTGTCTGAAACGCTCTGCAGAGTTTCCAGAGGGACTGAGTTGGTTTGTTGGCATAGATGTGATACGTGCCAAAGTCATCAATGGCTGTAGTGAATGGGGAGAGCCCAGGTCCATTGGTTTTGTCAACAGTAGTAGAGTTAGAAGGTTCACGAGTGAGTTGTTTGAATTGGGGAATATGCGACAGATGGGTAGAGCTACTCGGTAGAAGATCATCAAAGCGCTGTGGCATACGAACTAAGGGGCCTGAGCAAGATGAGATATGCATCTAATAGTATAGAAATCAAGTGTTAGATGGAGATTATGTTGTCATTAGGATCATGACGCACTGGTAATGCCTGATGTACTGGAGACATCTCCCTGCTTGAGTCTGGCTCCTCATCTTCATCATGATACCCAGATGGTCCTGGTACCTGAGAGAACAAGCCATTGTGGCTATCTCTCTGCTGTGCAAGCTCTGCATCCGAATCATGCTCCAGATATGGTGCAGCAGTGTTGAATATTGTTTGTCTTGCAGCAATTGTCTTAACGCATGTGTGGCGGTGAATGCAAAGACCTGTGGTATTTTTACAGATTTTATCACAGTCCTCACACTTCTTGGATCGTGAAGGTGGCATTGAGCTGAGTGGCAGCAGAAACGCATGACTTGTGTGTCTGGAATTATGGAGCAGGGAGAGGAACTCAGCACCAACAAGCGCTCATATGAAATTGCGTTGGCAAGCATTATCAGCCCCAATAAAAACACCAAGAAGGCAGATCATCACGTACCTAAAAGGTATGCCCGAGCATGCATTAGGTGCGCAACGATCACCGAGCCATGGTTATTGCTGCTACAAAATTAGCCTGACAGCGGCGTCTTCGGCCACTCTCTTTGTGCACCTTGAAAATGTACTCAGCCTGCAGGCCTGTACTTGAGGTGTACTAGTACACCCTTAGCAACTTAGCATTGTTGTCAATATTCTAGTATTAATGCAGCATTGGCTGCAACTTGCCTGTGAAAACATGTCTACTGGACACGCTTTCAGTCCGCTGAGAGCAACAAGTCCTCGGTGCAGAACCAGATTGAAGCTGCTCATAAATAGAAGTGAAATGGAAGCTGGTACTAATTTAGTCAGGTTAAATTTGGAATCTTGTTGGAATCCAGTGCCTCAGAGCCACCCAAAGTCAAGATGCGTCAAAACAAGATGCGTCTTTGGTGACATTACTGACTCACCTTTCTTTTTTTATTACCACCACCATGCCCCGCCACACCCGCTCCAAGTCACAGGTGCAAGGTCGCGCTTGTGCTTGCTCTGCAGAGCCCTCCCCTTCCCCCTCCCCTGAACGGCCACCTGCCAAAAAACCAGGACTCACCGTGGCTCATCCTCCTCTTCTCGTGTCCCTCCATCCTCGCCACCACCATCTAACTCATCTGGTCAATCTGGTTGGTCAGCAAAAGAAAAAGCACCTGGTGCCCCACGTGTTGAGTCAGCATTGTAAGTTTTGCCTTTACCTGTGTAGGACAGCTTGATAACCTGTTCTGTAGCTTCAAAAAGCAGTGCGACCGAGTCGCAAATTTCATCACATGCACTGCTGGTCTGTACTCTGAGATCGACGATGTTCCTTGATGGCAAGGCAAGTGCGTTTGGGACCACACTCCCCCACTCCCTCAAGAAGAAAATGTGTCATATGTGAGTTATTTTTGCATTTTTTGTTATCAGCACTTTGCTAACTATATGCACATCACATTTTGTAGGTCCAAGGGCAAGCTTCTGTGGCATGACAAAGTCTTTGACTTCATCAAGTCAAGTGCTCTGGCTGTCCTCAACTTGCTCAAGACCACAGGTATGAGCGACGAGCTCAAGAAATGCATCAAGAAGGTAAGAAAATTTTGTAATATGCACATATATGCATCCATACAAACCCTCCACAGCTCTGTAACCAAGTCAGCGTCACGAGGAGTACAGACTTCAATCCCATCAAGGATATTATTGGTCAGTACGCCACTATCAACCCCCAGAGGCCACTCGATCCATATGTCGGCAAGGGTGTGCCTTGCAATAAGTGGGGCTTTAACCATGTCCAGCCTGGAAAGCTCCTCTGTCCAATAGAGCACCTCCTGAAGTATCTCAAAGATTCTGACAGGTGGGTATCATTCTGTTTATTCTCTGTCTACAGTACACTCACTATCCTTTGAGAACGTGTGCTAAACTCAAGGCGGGCGACCTCAGCCTGAGAAGCCTTCCATCCTTTGTCTTTGAGAGTAATGGGGAGCCATGTATGCATTTGGATGGAGGTTATGATAAGGACTATGTTGCAAAAGGCATGTTTGAGGGATTTCTCCTCATACGTGTATGTACCACTATTCCCCTTCTGTGCCTTCTCTAACGCATTCTAGGTTGGCAAGCACATCATGGTCGCTCCGAAGGCTGCCTTGAAGGATGACCCACTACCACTCTCTTGTCGAAGCAAGGGCTTGATCATGGATACACCCTGTATCATTGCAGAACACTTGCCTTATCTTACTCTCGCGGTGAGTGTACTTTATCTCTATTTATATTGGTCTACCTAATTCCATGCATTTAAGGGGCGCTCAGCAATGTCTACTCAGCAGTGGGGAGCGATTGCCGATGGAGGCTATGTCTGGGAGAAGGAGTACAACCGGATGCTCACACTTGTCTTGGACCCGCTCCATGAGGAGGAGATCGCCAATGCCTTGCACTATCTGAACCTGTGAGTATTATTTGATTATTACTACAGTTAATTTACAGTAGCAACAGAAAAATATTTGGCCATGAAAAGGGCATGGTCAACGACTCCTCGGATGACAACAACGACAGCGACGAGAAGAACAACAAGGATAGCTTCTATATTTGGCTCTGGGAGCAAGCAAAGGCCAAACAGGCTGCTTGTGAGTGGGCACAGACCAAGCTTTGGGCCCACACTGCCGACATCACACTCCAGGCAGATGCAGATCATGCTGCTGTGGGGGACCTCCTCAACGCAGCAATTAACGAGGTTACAGGGAATGAGGAGACGGCAACTCACGAGGTAAGCTAATGATCATGTCTGCTGCTAGTTGCTTACTAGGACACTTCATCTATGGCCCAGACTCATGGACGTCCACCCATCAGCTCTGAGTCCTGCGCTTGCAACAGCTCACCCAACAATGATGCTGTAGGGACTTGTTGTTCACTGATGCTATACCCCATCCAGTATCTGCGGCTAACATTAGCTTTAACAACAAGCACATATCAGAGGCAGAGCTCTCTGAGAATGAGCAGGTACTCCCTCTGAAAACCAGTCACAGCAAGAACACTTCCTCAAGCAGCGGCAGTGGGAAGGTGAACCCACAGTAAACAAGTACGTGCTCAGCTACTGTTGTTAGATCATCTGACACACATTTGTATAAAATAGATTGTGCATCGCATTCTTGACAATCTTGTTGGCCTCTCTGTCATGTTTCCGACCAGCTGTAATTTGTGTACGTTTGTAGTTTGTTTGGTAGGACTTTGCTGTACTATGTTCGGACTTGTACAATCAAATTTGGTTTCATTGTATCTTATATGTGATTTGTAAGGCTAGATAAAGTTGTACCTTGTTGCAACACTCAAAAACCTTTACAGATGCTCAATATCCCTTAGCAGGCCCAATAGGCTTACTGACCTTCACGAGCTTCAAAAGGCCTACCATCCCTCGTGAACATGGGCAGTTTTTGTGAAATCTGATTACTTTGGCAAACACACCCCTTCTTTGTGAAAATCGAGACTGCTTCCTTACACTTTTGACCAGACCCTAGCCGTGTTGGGCTTATCAGTCCTCGCGAGGCTTTCTGGGGCCTTACCAACCGTTCATCAAGCTTATGAACTTGTTCAGATGTTTGTTGTATTTCCCAGTTTTTTTTACTGCAATGAATAACATAATTCTGAGAATTTCTTGCCTTATTACAGGCAAAAATGTATTTGTGAAATCTACTCCGGGAACCTGGGAGAAGCCTTTGGCCACTAATTGTGCATTATACTTCTTTAGATCTCCTTTTTTCCCCATATTTCTGTACAAATACCCATTTATTTTCTATAGGCTTTCAGCCCAGTGGACACAGTTCTTTGTGTCACGTGCCATACTCATCTAGTTGTCCTAATTCTGCTTCTATCACTTTTTCCCATTTGGGCCAAAAAAGACTTTCTTTGCTTCTTCCAATGTTTTTTGAGTCTTTATCTGTTACATTTGATTTTTTAAATGTCATATATTAATATTCTTGGAACAAATATTTGTTTTTTTTTTGAGTTCTTTTACAAACTCTGTAAGTTCTGGGAGTTTTTCTCCTTTGTATAATTTATTATAATCATGTACTATTTCTGGTTGTTTACTCTTTCTGGGTTTTTGTATTTCCACTTCTGGCATGTTTAGTGTTGTGCAGGGCCAGGCCTGAAGCCCTAAAGCCCTTGGGCCAAGCCCTGTATAGGCCAAGCCCTGCCCGAGCCCTGGCTAGGGCTTTTGAGGGCCTAGGGCCTGGTCTGGGTTGTTGCAAAGCCCAAGCCCAGGGCCTAAGCCAGGGCCTGTAGCTAAAATTTTGAAGAAAAAAAATGTTAGTATGACTGTACAACTACTCTAGTAACAAAAAGTTCTATAACTTGAACTTAAGCATTAGCTAGTGTACAATGTTTTTATTGATTGTGGGAAATTCTAATCAAAGTGTGCTGTGTCCTGATCTAGTTATGGCATTATCTGCCCTTCAATTAGAATATAGCCTTGAGAGTTATGTCAGTAAATAAGGTGATTTTGACTCAGCAGGTTACTAACGTCCCAAAGACAGTTATGGTGCAAACAATGAAGCTGAAAACACCTCAGCACCTCAGCACCTCAGGCTCAAGGACTTCATGCCTATCTTGGCTCTGAGATGCCTTTTCCAGAAGAGATATCTATTGTCCATTGGTGGGGTGTAAGTTACTTGTTGTATCACATTTTATGGTTCTAATCAGTGCTACAGTTGAATTCTCCTTTGTACCTTATTTGGGGATCATGTCAACACCGTGTCTGCCCAGGGAGAACCAGGATGTTTGAGCTATGCTCCAATAGAGATACCATGTCCCAAAGATGCTAGCAAAGATATGAAGAAGTGTGGAGAAGGACCAGATGTGAACCAGAGATAGCGAAGGTAGAGGAGTTGCACGTAGAAGCAAGGAAAAGATGCTAAGTACAGTGGAGTACAATGGAGATGACAAGTCAATGTCAAGTCAACTTGGAGTATGATTGGAATAGAGATGACAAGCACAAAAGAATATCAAAGGCCACAGGAATGTTGGGACAGGAGTAAATCAATATTCATACTATCACAAGTTGAATGCTACCACTATTTATATTGTAAGTCCAGATCTTTGGATAAGCTCCAGATATCTACTGGCGTAAGTGTGGAGTATCATGAGTAATCACCAAAATAGACTGAAGGTCGTAAGAATACAAAACGTGACAGGTGTAATTGTGGAATAATGACAAGCATAATTATAGTAATGACAGGTAAAATGTGGAGTGAGTTGGTCACAAGAGAACATGCTGACTGATAATTCCTAAGTGTGTCAGCAGCTAAAGATACCAAAGTAGTACCAAAGGAGCAAACATGGATCGGAGTTTGACTAGAGATGCATGGGCGTAACAGATCACTTTCATGCAGCTACCTGTCCATTATGGCCTCTTCAGTGTCCAATGAGCGTGCTTTTTCATGCAGCTGCTGAAATAATCACAAAAAGGTGCAATCACATTGGTGGAGATGTTGTTGAAGCTATTCAGGTGTTGAGAACACTCTGCTGCCAGGAATTAATTTTCCATGAGCTAGGGCCATCCTCAGCAACTGAGTTATCCTTTGAGATGACTGAGTGCAATGTTATTGATGAAATGACTGTTGAGAAGCATGATGATGAGCTTGGAGACTTAATTTTAGGTATTTCAGACAATGAGAACCATTGAGACTTGGATGAATAAGTGTTTTTTACTACAGTGATTATTGTGACACAATCAAAAGTTGATGTCTTCACTGTTTTTTACTGTCTGATTTATCCTGATAGCTTCATTGAGTTGAAAATGGACCACTCTAATTTTTTATGCACAAAGGAAGCAAAATACATGATTTTATAGTGAAAGCCCTGGCCTAGGCCCAAGCCAAGCCCAAGCCAAGCCCTGGCCCTATGTCAGGGCCTGGCCTAGGGTTTTGCAAAGCCCGAGCCCTCAAAATCCAGGCCAAAGCCAGGGCTTTCAGGCCAAGCCCGGCCCTGCACAACACTAGGCATGTTGCTTTTATTACTCTGTGTGTCTGGTTCTTTATTAGATTTTTCTGGGATTTCTGACTGTGCAGGCGCATCTTGCATAGGCATGGGAATAAACACCCCAGTGCAATGCACATTGTCTATTTTAGGAAACTTGTAGTTTCTCAATGACAAAGATGATTGCGAGTATGTGCTAGAAAGCCTAGACAATGTGGACTCACAGGGCTTTAATTGAAGACTTGAGTAACAAGGCTTGTTAGAGCTGAGGTTGATGATGATAGTTGTTCAAGTAAGAGAGACTGAAGATAAGATTCATGTGTAGCAACTCATATATATAGGACACAGGGAGCATGTGAATCAACTACCATACTTGTAACTAATCGGCCCTAAACCATGCATAACATGGACAGCTGACCCATAGTCCACGTGGCCAAGTGCAATAGATGCAGGTCATGACACAAGCATGAATACATAAAGGTGCTAAAGATACTCTAAGGTATAGTGTAAGAGACAATGTAGAACTGCTAAGGGGACATTGTTGATGGAGTAGCCAGCATAGACATGTAGTGCTAAGCTGACCAAAGTTGTAAAAGGGTCAAGTACCACTTGTACTTTTAACACTCAAAACTCTAATTGCTTGTGAGTGAGAATCAAAATATCTAACAGCCTTTGGACCATCTTCATATCCCATAAATAGATGTTTCTTGTTTAAAATATAAAATGAAGTGCCAAACTCCTCAAAATGTGATATATTCAGTTTATTGTTTGACCACTTTTTGATTTGAGTGGCTGTGCCAGTTAAGGCATGTGGGTACGTTCTGTTTTGTCAATAAGTTGCATGCAGTGAAGCTTGCAACCACAAAAATTTCAGTAAGTTGCAGGCCAATAGGACTGTGCAAACTGCTTCTATTATTGTTCTGTTAAAGTGCTTAGCTACACTGTTTTGCATGTGTGCATAGGGTGTTGTTACCTCTAAGGAAATACCCCTGTCTGCAAAATCCGGTGGTTCATTTTCGTATTCCTTTCTATTATCTCATCGGATTTTATTTTGTTTTGTAGTTATATTGTCTTTCTGTAAATGTAATGTAGTTCTTTATTTCTCAGGCTGCCTTGCTTTTTGGCTTGAGGGGAACAACTTGTTTACATCTACTGTAGTCATCTACAATTGACATCAGGTCCTTGTGTCCATTTATAAAAGCAACACATGCTGGGCTCCACAGATCAGTGTGGATTCTTTCTCCAGGCATGGAAAAACAGTTTTTTGCTTCTTTCGGAAATGGTGTGCATGTCATTTTTGCTTTTTCACATGCATCACAATCAAAATGGTCTGAACTCAGCAAAATGTGTAGTCCATCTACCATTCTATTTTTATTGGTCTTTTTGAGCATGTTTATACCAATGTGGCCATAGCATTTATGCTACTTGTACCATGTGTGTGCTTCATTGTCTTTGCCTATTTGGGCATGTTCTTCATTTACTATAGGTTTACAGTAGAAATAATATATTTTCTGTTTAAGAACCCCAATGGCAAGTGTCTGGTCATTGGAATTGAGTAAATGAACTTTGTTATTCCTATAGATGGCTTTGCTGCTGGCTTTATCAAGCCTCAAAACTGATATTGAGTTTTCAAAGCAGATGGCATATGTAGCACACCATTAATGTCAGGATCTTTTCTTTTCCATTTACAGACATTCTCAGGCACACCATGCCTTTTCCAGCAACTTTTATTCCTGGTCTACTGATTCTGTTTACTCTCATATCTTTTTAAGGGTTGGTAATCTATAAATATGTGTTTATCTGCGCATATATGGAAAGTTGTTTCCAAATTGCTCACCCAGTAATAGAAGCAAGTAGTGTATTGAGAGGACTCAGCCATCTTGACATCATCATCTGATATAGGTACAGAAGTTGTATTTACTTCATAGTCCTTGGCAGTCTGAATGTCCTCAGAGGTATGTGCTTCTTCGTGCTTCCTCTTCTTTCCTCTATTTCCAGGAGAAGCTGCCTGTTCTTTCCCCTTTAGGGAAATCTTCTGTTCAGTCCAATCCTCAGGATAGCCATACTTTGCAAAACACTTCCCCTTATGGGGGCAATTACAGTATTTACACAGTAATGCATTCTTAACAGTGCATGTGTTGTACTAGTGCAAATTAACTTTTCAGTGGATACAGTACAGTTTTTCCTTGTTTGACTTGCCATTCCGGATGCACTTCTTTTTCACAGGACAGTCTTCTTTGTCATTGCTATCTTCATTGTTGGAAATTACTTTTTCCCCATGGCAAATCCATTCCTTCCACATAGTGGTAGTGAGATTGCTTGTAGATCTGATCTTCTGCCCAGTGCCATCAGAAGCACCATAGAAGCCTGAGGCCCAGGCATCCCATGAGCATGGGAGTGTAGCAAGAATAATTTGTTGGAAATTCTTTTCATCAATGATCTGGTCACCTGATGCTGATGTGTATTGGTCTTGCATATTCTCCAACTGTCCAATATGATTTTGCATATTTGTCTTGTTCCCAGCGTGCTTTGTAATCATCTTGCAATAGATATTGATCACATGCTGAGTCAACTTGACCTCAGAGCTGGCTCTGAGTGTATCTAAGACATTGAATGAGGTAAGCTGCCTCTTTGTCTTGGGATGTTTATCTCTAAGGTATAGTAGGAGTTCATCAGAAATAGAATTATTCATGATGTACTTGGCGGTGTTGGCCCACATCTCCCACAGAATCTTCCACAGAACCCTGTTTCAATTGGTATGGCACAGGTTGATTGGCCAATCACCACTCATGATCTTAATACTTCCTGCAAACTCAAAAGCACTATTTGCGTGCTTGGTCCAGGTCCACCATTTATTGGTGTTCCCATGAGTTCTGCAGAGTTTGTCTTTGCCCTGCATGGCCATGACCTTCAGGTACTGGCTCTGCAGGCAGGCAATCATTGCCTTGTATGGGTCTGCCCAGTTCTATGGAATGGTCATGTGAACCAGACCTGAGTTGACCAAATGGTCTGCCTGCATCTGAGGTGGCTGGGTCTGTGGAGGCAGCATAGGAGCTGAATCTGGAATGGCAGGAGTCAGATTGATGGGGTTAAGCAGCAACACAACTTATAGAGCGGGGCTGTGGTGTAAAGCTGTTGAAAACATTGGCTGTGCAGGCTTGGCAGGGGCCTTGCCCTTATTGGTCTTGGAGTATATCACAATGTTCTTCTTTGGGCCATTGCCGGAGGTCAATGCTGCCAGAGCGTGAGGAGGAGAACCAGACTTGTTGCCCAAAGAGGTGCAAAAAGACTTAAACAATATGATGAGGAGGTAGGTTGCGCTGTTACAAGCAGGTGGGGCTCATAACCACTTGGGTTTACACAAATGTAGGTGTCTGCACTGATAGCAGTCTAGTAGTATTTCAGTTGGCTTTTATACTAGTTAGACTATAGGAGTACTTGTACTACTCTTTTTTTTGTAGTTTAGCTTATGATTATTCTAATGTATGTATTCTACATCTTCAGGGTTTGGCCCAGGGTTTATGATCTATCTGCTGGCCTTCCCAAAGGTCAGCCTATCTGTTCTTGTGTTTTTCCTGTTGGTACATGATCTTTCTGATGCTCGTCCATGTCTCTTGTGTTTATTTTTTTTGCTCAGCATCTGTCAATCACTCATATGCACTTATGTGCTTTCTTGCTCTCAATACAGATCACCAAAGTACTAGCTCCTGCAAAAAGTATGTGAAGGGGGGTCATATGACCCCCACATTTTTTGAGCATGAAGAAAGTTTGGACAAGATCAGAACACACCACAGCTAGCAAATAACTTGAATATTTAGCCTATATAGTCTACAAAATCTCAGGATAGCCATGTATAAGTTTTATAATGATCAACAATGATTTGATGCTGCTATTGTCTTAGAAAGTATATAATGAAACAATGGCAGCAGTTCCCATCTTGGCAGTGAAAGGTGAACATACTCTCACCTAATAGTGTTGTTGGTTGGGTGGTTTGAGGCTCAATGCAATGGTAGTTCAGTAGAGACACCTGTCCTTCCCACACTTGTGGTGTTAATTTAGTGTTACCCTGGCATCTGTAATCACCATTTATTTAGGTCTTTTTTGACTTCCTCTCAACATTGGCAGTTTTTGTAGACTTGGACTTAGAAAAATAGCTAGCTCCCCCTACTTGTGTATCCCCCTATCTCCTGTCCCTGGCATTGTCTGGTAATATAACCACACTGTTTTGATTGTTTAAATCATATCTTTGTTGGCATCCTCACTTCCGTTCCATACCCACTCCCCTAGGTAATGCCAACCCACACAAGCTTGCTGTCCTCCACAGCAAGCTCAATGTTCTCATTTGTTTCTGTGCTATTTTATCCTGTTCTTTTTGCATCATAGTATCTAGCTAGTCTACATTTCAATTGAGCTACTCACTCATGTTTTTATGCAGGAATATACACATAGTATACAGCCAAACATGTGGAGGACTTAGATTTCAGGCTTGGTAAGCATTCTAATATAGTGGTGTGTACTATATGCCAGAAACACGCTGAAATGTAGGTGAGTATTCCCAATAAGGTGGGCAGGTCAACCTAATAACTGCAGGTCTAGAACCTTAAGCAGAAGGAAACCTGGTAGTTATATTTGCCACTACATGACAGGAATAGCATCAACTCCTCAATTCCTTTCATTGCATCTGATTGATGACATGACAAATTCTGTTGCATTCAGGGTCAGTAGAAATTTAGAGAAAACATGATATATACTGCACAAAGGATAAGTGAGTATGAAGTGAATGATAGTATGCTAAATACAAGTCTGAAAAGCCAGTTGTCCATGTCAAGATCTGACCCAATAACAGAGCAACTCCTGTATGTCTTCTTTGAAAAAGTGGATTTATTACCCTTGTGCTAAACTCTTGGATTGCTGTCCTTGACAACTTTGTCCAAAAGCTTGCACTTCTGGGCCAATTGTCCAATGTTCCATTGTCATGGTTTGATGCTTCATGTGGTTACTGGATTTTTGGCACCCCACCTCTGCTTACGCAAAGTGTGTGTATTGGCACTGGATGCAGCAATGGGAGCAGTGTTGGCAGAGGTGGCAGCATGCACAGAGGCTGGAGTTTTGCTGGCCAGAACAATGTTGGAGACTGTAATAGGCTTGTCAGGCTCCACAGGAACAAGGCAGGAACAAGGAAATCAAGGTCAATGGCAATGGGAGCAGCCACAATAGCAGTGCCAATGGTCTCTGTGGACTTGACAACCTCAGCAAACTTGGGAGCAGGAGTGGGGCCAGGCAGCAGCAGGTCAGGAGCATGGGACTCAGGTGTGGTTGGTGGCAGTTGGTACAGATGCAGGGGAGTCAGTGTAGAGGGGGTGGAAGCTGGTTCAAAGGAGGTGGGAATAGAGGTAAGGGCTGGTTTAGAGGATGCAACGGGAGGGGTAGAGGGGACAGGGGCAGGTGTAGCAAGGGTGACAGCAGGGGTAAAGACGAGGGCCTGTTCAAAAAGTGTGGTAGCAGTTGCCAAATGTGCAGTGGTAGTTAGATGGGGCACAGCAGCAGGTGCAGAAGGCATGGTGGCAGGTGCAGAGGGAGCAGGGGCAGGGGCAAGGGTAGAGGAGGGTGCAGGTGCAGGCAGCCTACAGTCAAAATCTGGTGTCAAGACCTTGCACATTGCAATTTGCTGCTTGCGAGATGCAACTTCAGCATTGTTGACTTGGATGAACTTGCAGGTGCCAGCAATAATGGCATCAAAAACAAACTGGAGAGTAGGCATGCCACCATAAAGATTGCTGGGGTTGCACCACTTGTCAAGGGGCCAGCCAATAAGTTTTTTAACAAGATGGTGCCAGACAGTGTTCTGTGGTTGTCCCTGAATTGTTAGTAATAAATACTATAAGTAGGTTAGCAGTAGATAACAATGCAAAATAACAGATGACATACCAAGGGCCCTCTGTAAATCTGCCTGTATTGTCACCTTGACCTCCAAGGCCTTGGACCTGAACTTGTGGGTGTCAATGTTGGCTGAATAAATTTGGAAAAATGAGTATGTCAGGCAAGGGGGGGGGGGAAATCAACACATATTTGTTGGAAGGAGATCCAGAGACCATCAAGCCCTTGAATTGAATGCTCAGGTTCATGACATCACCTTTGATGTACCACTTGAGGAAAGCTCCAACACCAGGACTTGTGTAGAAAAACTTGGACACCATGGCATAGTTGGGCAATCTGTGTACAAAAAAGATGAAGGCCTCAGCATGGATCTAGAAACAAGGCCACAAAGCTAACATAGTTAGTAAGAGAACAAGGAGGAAATATAATGAATCTCACCTCCTCAGCAACAGCTGCAAAGCTTGCCATGCACTTGGCAGAACAAATGTGAGCAGTGACATTTGCTGAGTTTGACGCAGCAGCCTGCTTCTCCTACTCAAACTCCTTGACCATGCATTGATGGATGTCCATGGACAAGTTTTGGTACTTGGATTCCTTTGCCAGTTGTGTGAGCAGTACATGTTCTCTGGGCTCTTGATCTGCAGTGGTTGTTAGAGAGAGAGAACAGATATAAATGGATATGAAGATAATGCACTAGTGTTCACCTCAAGACTTCTGAAATGGTTGTATGCAGACCACAAGCTGGTCTTCAAATGGTGCTTCTGGTGGAGAGACAATCTAAACTGGATTTTTTCATAGTAACAGCAGGTTGAGTGATTGAAGGTCATGGCCATGTCCTTGACCTTGGCCTTGACCTTGATGTAGTCAAGATGATGACTGTCAATGCAGGTGTTCTTGGACCCTTTGCACTCTGTGCAATGCTGACTAAGCAGCTTGCACACCTCAGGTGATACTTTGACCTGCATCCACATGGGTCAAGGAACAAGGCAGTCATTTCACATAGCGGCAGCAATGGCAGAGGCCTCAGCCTTGCCAAGAATATCCAGGCATCTACACCTAAGCTCATCAGCCCATTGCCAACTGAAAAGATTTCCAATGACAAAGTAGCATACATCATGCAAAGTGTCTGGGAGCCCTATTTCCCTGAGCACGGACTGCATTGTGTTGAGTGGAACTAATTACAATTACTTACAAATAGTTATTACATACAAATATCCAGGACATTGGACTATAAGTCAGACTATTACCCAGCTATGACATCACTGAGTTACACTAGATAACCAATAGCATTACTCTCCAGTACTGTACAGGTGTTACTGTCACATCACTCTCCTTGGTATATAATCCCTAGGACTAGTGTACTAGGAATACAGGTTCTCTCCATCAAACTACCATCATACTAAGCCTCAAATACCCAAACCAACCAATACTATCAGGTAAAACTACAGTAAACTTCTACTGCCCAGATGGGATACTGCTGCCATCATTTCAGGTTATGAGCCTTGCAGGGGTTCAGCCTTTGTACTACCTACCTAGTGTAGTCAGGCTTCACCTGTGTCTTACCTGAGGCACCTTGTTTTGAGGTGCTCCCTAGCATTTTCAACTTTGTTGCTACGTGTTGTATTAGATCATGTTTTACCATGACAACAACACCAGTAACAATCTTCCCTACTTCCATGGATGTGAGTTTGCATGCTGAAAGGGACACATCATTTTACATGCTCTGTACAAGGGCTGGGACAATGTTCTTCTCAACCAAACCTCTCTGCCAGTGGGTCAAACTGCCATGAACAAGGTTGAGGAGTGGTACAGTTGTGCCTGCCAAGTCAAAGGACTGATGCTGAAACATTTCAATAAGAATGTCTATCACGTCTCCAACTACAAGAACGATACTCTGAACCAGATGATGACAAAGCTTGAGGCCCAGTACAGACTCAGGGTGTCAGGTACAGCAGCTGTTTACGAGCTGCTGTCTCATCTTTTGGATATCAAGCTTCCCACTAAGGGTTCACTGCACCCATCGTTTGATCAGTTCAACATCACCTGCATCCATCTCAAGGACCTTGGTCTTGAGATTAGCAAGAAATTTAAGTCCTTGCTTCTGTTGTACAAGTGTCAGAGTGCGCCCAGCACCTCTGCATCGCTCCTATGCCCTTGGCACAGCAGCCCAGTGGCCTTGGTACGCTTTCCAGCATTCCAGGACACTTGGGTAAAAAGAGGTAAAACTTGCCAGTTGTGTGAGTTGAACCTAGAGCCTTGTGGTAGTGCCCAGAGCGCTGCAACCACTCAGCTATTGTGTGTTGAGGTATACTTTTACTTGTGTCTTGTTTATACCTTCACCACCTTCCTATTCCAGTATCTCGCGACTTTGCCCCTATTTCGCCTTTCTCTACTCTTTGGCTTACTATGGAGAACTCCGAGCTACTGTACAGTTCCCAAACCTTATTTCTTTTCACCTATATAACCCTGGTGTCCACAGAGCGTCTCCTTACTTGCTCACTGTTGGACACCAGGTCAGTACCCTTGTATTTCGTCTTTATCAATACTACTTGCTCACTGTTGGACACCAGTGCCTCTTCTGAGCGTGATAACAAGCTCCTGCACTTGTATAATACAATCACAGAGGTCCAGAATGCAGGCACCAAGGATCTCAACATGTTAAAGGTCACCAACATCAAATCAGCTACACTTTGTCAACAGACATGCATGCAGACAGAGACAGCAACCAAAGGTGGTAATCTCAACAAGGCTCAAGGTTCTAAGAACCACTTGACTCTGCTGCAAGCAGAAGCAAGTAAAGCCATGGCAATCAAATGTCATGATGCTTACCCAGCCTGAAAGTTCCAGCAGCAATGGAAAAGTGGCCAAGATGGTCAGCACCCGCAACAGCCCAAAAAGAGCAATGATCACAAGGAATGCCATTCCTATAGTAAGGGCAAGCACACCTTCAGTGCCAACAATGGCAATGATGCTCACTATACTCATCAAAACTCAGCAGATATCTGCACTGTTGATCAGTGTGTCCGCAAGATTGTTGTGACACCCACCACCAAGCAATCCTGCAATGACCCATTGTGCCATGGAGGAAGTGGCCAACCAGCAAGAACAGTCCATGTTTGCCCTCACAGACCATCTTGCTTGTGCTTGCACTGCTCATCCCATGGCCGATGATGACTTGGCACACAACATTATTCCTGACGGGGAGGCCACCTGGTTCAACATTGATGACAAGGACAATCTAGTCCCTGTTATCAAGAAAAACCCTGTCAATGTTGGCATGTCTGAGGCTGAAGCTCAGCAGCTGCCTTGTCCCAAAAAAGCTCCTTGGGCACAAAAGGTTCTCCTCTCACGGTGTTGTACATGTTATGAGGTTACCCTGGTGTGGCCCTGTGGGATTATTGCTGCTTGAGCAACATTCTATGGCGCCAAGGCAGTATCAAATGTCTGTGAGGCAAAGCAACAAGTTATGGCCAACAAAGACCAGTACTGGCTCCCTGTTGGCATGTGTGTCGATGTCTGGCATTTTCAAAACAAGCACAAGACAATGCATACCTTCTGCCAGGAGCACTGCAACCCTGCTGACTTTCTCAAGCTCAAGTCCGAAGATGGCAAAGGGTGGTGGTTTACTACCTCCATAGCTGAGCAGGTCAATCTTTGGCTCGGAGGTTATCACTTGATCATATGTGAGATGATGCAGGTAAAATATAACTTTTTTTTTGATGAGATGATTTGGCTTTGCAATCTCAATACCCTTGAGCCACTGAAGGCAAAGGGTCTTTAAACCTTCATACATGCCCTTCAATTGCACTCCTTCTTTTTAATTTCAAGTCTTGTTTGAGTAATACCATGTAATTAATATGTTGCATAAGATGTGTCAAAGTGTGCTTGTGAATGTGTTGATGCATCAAACAAGATGAGCATGGCAATGCAACAAGCACAAAGACACAACAAATGCAAACAACAATGCAACAAACACAACAATACAATGAACGCAACAGCATCAATGAGCGAGAATGACCATGATGACCATGACACAATGATGTTGATGAGTGTGACAAGAAGAATGAGGCAAGGTGTGCCTATACTTAAAAGCACCTTGAACACCATTCAGTTTAGTTTTTTTGGTGGTGGAACCCCAACTATGACTATGCAAGTGCCTCCAGCAAGTCTGGGGATGATGAATCATCAGATTCAGACAATGACAATAGCCCCCATTCACATGGGCCTATGGGTGCGTACCTCATATCTTACACGCTGCTGTTCATGGTATGACACATTCCCTAGGCATGGTACCCACCTTGCATTGCGTGCCATAGAGGAGCACGCTGGTGAGAAGTGTGATAGTCAGAAGCAGAAGTCCGTAATGTGGGTACTTTCTTTTCTCACTCCAAGAGCTATGTGATGACTGCCTATATTTTGATTACAGCAAAGAGTTGCCCTACTCCCAAGAAGAAACATTGTGGTGGCAGCACTGGCTGTTTGCACACCAACAGCCGAGTACGTATTTTGTCCATGTAGGCCATTTTATTGATCACAAATGTCTGCTTACTTTTACCAGTAGGTTTCAGCCCTTCAAGACAATCAGTGTTTCAACCATGAGAACCACGCCAACAATATTGCAGACACATGCAAATAGTGCTGCCAGAAGGAACCTCATTGTTTCTGGAAGCCCAGTCCGGCCTGCTGGTCCTGTTGGTGGGCGAAGAAAATGTGTAGTCTCAAGAAAAAGAAAGGCCCCAAGGAGTTCCCATCTAAGAAACAAGATGCCAATGCTGCTGGAGCTGAAGGCAACACAGGGCATGGTTGTAAATGTAAACACGTTGATCTCAAGACAGGTAAGTGTTGCTTTGTCCCTTCTGCTGTTGACTAACATCTTCCAGAAGCTTCATTGCTGCTGAACAACAGGCAGGATGCAGCACAATATGATAACTACCTGCAGCTCTGGTAAGTGTTCTGCAAGGTGCAAGTGCCATCTTCATGTCTGTAAAACCCATTTTCATATTCATAGCTATCTCAGCTTCAGCAATTCTGAAGTCTTTCCACGCTGATGATGCCAGCGCTCTGGGCACTACCACCAGGCTGTAGGTTCAACCCACACAACAGGCAAGTTTTACCTCTTTTTACCCAAGTGTCCTGGAATGCTGTGAAGCGTACCAAGGCCACTGGGCTGCTGTGCCAAGGGCATAGGAGCGATGCAGAGGTGCTGGGCGCACTCTGACACTCCCCCCTGAACCAGCAGCTCTGCCAGACTCGCTCCCCCCCAATGCCTCAAGTCCCATCAGATGAGAGAAGCGCTGGACCTTGGCCACAGGAAGTGCCTTGGTGAGGAGATCAGCCACCATGTGGTCAGTGCCTACATGGACAGGCTCAATGAGCCCAGACTCGACCTGATCCCTCAGCCAGTAGAAGCACAAGTCCAGCTGCTTCATCCTCCATGGTGCTCAGG